AGCTCAGTGATAGATGTGTCCTTATGTTCAAACTCTAGTTCAGATGGATCACAACCTAGATTTAATTTCTTTTATAGTTTAGATATGTTTAAGGGCTTTAAACTCACAGTTCATGCTTAGACCTTTTGGTCTCTCTGCCCAACACATGCCCGTTATTGTATTTATCCTCACAAATGCCTGTTACTTCAGCTCTGGGAACAGAATTACTAGGGCCTGCTGGACTCTGATCTCCCCCACCCCACAAAGGCAACCACTGGGGAAAGACCTCCAGTCTCAAAGGAGAGTGACAGAGGCTAGCACTCAGCACCTTCTTCTGGTCTCTCTGTGTGTGCACACACAAATGAACAATTACGTACTGAGAGAAAGAGACAGCACTTTTAGTGGATTCTTTCATGGGGTGCACCATAGAGCAGTCTTCCTGGGGACCAGCTCAGCCCGCACCACACAGAAAGGCAGGCCGGTGCTGAAGGGGGCACTTCAGAGTCTTCTCCCAACAGAATGGTCCTGTGTTCTTCTTCAGATAGAGCTGCAGTACTCTGGATATCCTCATTCCTAGAACTTGATGTTTTCTGTAAAAATAGTTCAGTTCGCCCACAGAATTTCAGCCATATGCTTGAGTTATGTATATAAAGAACTTTTTAAATAGGAGTCATCAAGATGGCTCAGTGGGCAAAGGTGCTTGCCTGCCAAGCCTGCCCATCGATCAAGTTCTGTATACCAGGCCACATGGTGGAGGGGGAGGACCAACTCCTGACATTTGTCCTCTGACCTCCATGCTACAGCATTAGTGTGTAGGTGGGGATTTCCTGTCCTGCAGCCGCTCTCAAACAAACACACTTAGATTGCGGATACACAGACAATAGATCAGGGTTATAACTAACTAGCTCTTCCGTTTTAAGTTAGTCCACTCCTTATTTATGCTCTGTCGCGTGTCAGTACCTTTTATAGCATGATGTGTTCGTCTTCTCCCCCTGTGTCTGACTGGCAACTCTAGACTCCGCCCTTCTTCCTCCCAGCATTCTCCTAGTCTGACTCTCCTGCCTAACCATATTCTGTTCAGCAATTGACCATTCAGCTTCTTTATTAAACTAATCACAGTGGCATATATTCACACAGTGTAAAGGAATATTCCAGAGCATTAGTGAGCCTCCCTTAACTTATACACTAAGTGTAATAATAATAAAAATAAAGATGGGATTTCATTTTCAAATGAGAAAATTAGGTACCATTAAGTATAAATATAATGTTTTTGACACGAGTATACGTTTTCCCTTCAATGTCTTATTTAAGGTCCCAGCCGGTTTCTTCTCCGGTCGTCCTCCAGTTTGGTCACGCAGAGACGCTCCTGCCGCTGCTGTCTCTCATGGGCTACTTCAAAGACAAGGAGCCCCTCACAGCATATAATTTTAAGGAGCAAGACCATCGCAAGTTCCGAAGTGGCCGTATCGTACCTTATGCCTCAAACCTGATATTTGTGCTTTACCATTGTGAAAACGCGAAGACCCCACAAGAAGAATTCCAAATACAGATGCTGCTGAATGAAAAGGTGTTACCCTTGGCTCACTCGCAAGAAACTGTTGCTTTTTATGAGGATCTGAAGAGCTACTACAAGGACATTCTTCAGAACTGTCAAACCAGTAAGGAATGTGACCTCCCCAAAGTGAACGTCACCTCTGATGAGCTGTAAGGAGCTGAGGGCAAACTCAGTCTGGCCGTGCCTTCCTCAGGGGTGATTATGTTTGCAGTAGGTAGGCAACCTCTCTATCAGGAAAGCTTTCAAGGCCTTGGGGTCGTGGTATACAGCTTTAATCCCAGCACTCTGGAGACAGGCAAGAGGATCTCTGTGAGTTCGAGGCTCACCTGATCTTCATGGTGAGTTCCAGGCCAGCCAAGGCTACATAGAGAAATAACCATAGATTGCTTAGTCCTTGTGTCTTTTCACAGAAAATAATAATTTCTTTTAGGATCTGGGCATACGGGTAAGACATGACTTTCCCTGGGGCAGCTGTCATCAGGGCAAAACCAAGTTCAAGGAAGCAGCTGGCCCAGCAAGTGTCTGCAGAGCTGAAATGGCTCCAGCTTAGCCTAAGAAACTCCCAGGGATGGAGCTTTGTTAGAAAGTGACACTTCGGAATGGTGGATACCAAAGCACAGTGTCCCTGGATGACCTATGTCAGGGACTTCAGTGATCATGTTGACTTCCTTCTCCTTCCTGTAGGACTCTGCTAGCACAAATGACGTCACTTGCTCATAAGTGTGGTAAAGTGGGCGCCTGACGTCAGAAGAAAGCCTAAAATAATGGCCATCTAGAGGGGAATTTCACACAGTATTAAGAACCAGGCTGAAGCAAGACTGAAAGTGTGGTATATTTTTGTTACTATTATTTATAAAAATATTTAAACACTTCATCAGTAATTTCCTTCAACCTCCAAGTAGGTCTTGCAGGGTCACCTGAATTCCATCGGCCTGTTTGGGGTGTGTCGTGATGGCAGAGTGCACACTGGGCAGACAGATGCCAGCCTCTCTCACGTTCATTGCCAGGCTGCCCTTTTCATTCCATCATGGCTTCTTTTTTGTATTTTGTTATCACATTAAGCATATTTTTTGGTGGTTTGGATTTTCTCTTTTTAAATAAAGACTTCTGGCTGATTTAATTGTATAACTTTCAAACCTGTTTCACAGAAATTCTGAGTTCTCTCAAATGCCATGAAAGTGTTTGCTGCAATAAAGTTCTTGTGACTTTACTGCCGAGTCATTTCTTCATTCGTTCATTGATAATGAGGAGTTGGAATTTCAAGTGTTTGCCTTGGCACGGCAAACCAGTGAATGGGTCCTTCCAATGCCTCTTGTTATAATTTGTATTCACTATAAAAGATCGTATCTTCCAAAGAGAGATTTTTTTTTGTGTGTTGAAATATATGGTTAATCTTATCAAAGCATATCAGTCAAATCTCAATATAATGGGCTGCATAATTTTATAGTTTACCTCTGAGGAAAGGAATCCTGTGGCAATCAACCCACAGTGACGCTGCGCCTGTGTCTTTGGACTTCCAACATGGATTGAAGACTAGCAACTTCCCAGGACTCATCTAGTCCTTCAGCACTATTTTGGGTCTGCTGAAGCATCAGGCTTTGCAGCCTGAGCAGAAATAGGTTCTCACTCTCTCTAGCCACTGTGGGGACTACCTAGTCCTTATTGGTTATAAGCCATTCAAATGTACTAGCGCACACATTCATGCATTCTCTCTGTTCTGTTCACTAGAAGACCTGCCCAATACAATATGAGTGACATCATATTGATTCATTTACCTAGTCTTCCAGATCACAAGTCCTGCAAAGAAGGTGTGGTTTAAATGAAAATGGTCCCCATAGGCTCACTTAATTGAATGTTTGGTTCCTAGTTGGAGGAAGTGTGTCACTGGAGGTAGGCTTTGAGGTTTCAAAAGCCCACACCAAGCCTAGTCTTCCTCTAGCCTCCAACTTTGAATAAGATGAGAGCCCTCAGCTACCGGTCCAGAACAAACCCTGCCCACTGCCATGCTCCCTGCCGTGATGGGCAGAGACTAAGTCTCTGAAACTGTAAATAAGCCCCCAGTTAAATGCTTTCTTTTATAAGCTGCCGTGGTCATGGTGTCTCTTCACAGCAACAGAAAAGTAGCAAAGACAGAAGTTATAATTGATGCTGCAGCAGGATGCTGGCTTCAGAATGACCTCAGGATTCTATTTTCTTACCTAATGTCCCAGCCGTTGACACACTGCTGAGTACCTTTCCAGGCAGTTTTCTGACTCATTAGACCGAAGTTCTTCAAGAATAGTCTCCTGGGGGTACTATAAATGAGAGCATATTCAGCTTTTCTGAGGTGAAACCGTGCCATCTGGGAATCATTGTCAATGGCTGAATTAAATACAAGTGAGAAATAATTGCACTTGTAAATTAGAGCAGATAAATTAATTGGAAGCATTAGGAGTTTATCTTAAAGTGGTGCTTTATATTTTTCACTAAACTATGGAAACTTTTCCCTTATTTAAATTATCAAAACTTCAAATGGAAGTCCTTGGTCTCCCAACGCCGTTCATAAAGCAGGGGGTTAGTCGCCACGTCGCTTTCACAGCAAATGCAGCTGGCACCTTGTGCTTTGACTCATGGTTGTCCCTGCGACACTCTGGGTTTCCAAACCTCTAAATGTGTGATACAAACATAAAATAGTGAGCACTCTACCCGTCCTGCTTTACCAAAACAAACATTGTAACATACGCTTTAGATCCCAACCAGATCCCAGCAGTGCTGAGGACGTGTGTGCTTCTCCAACCCAGCTTTCCTCATTCGCTGCCTAGAGTTTTCACCACACCATGACAATGCCTAACTGAGAACTTGAGAGTTAACCGAAAATGACTCCATGAAATGGAGTCATAGCGTTGAGTGCTGTTCTTGTATGTGATTTAACTGATGTGCTTGTTGGTCCTGATCTTTGACGCAAATTATAGTTTTTATTTTTTTACATTTATTTTGTGTCTGTGCCTTTGTGGTGATTTGCATGAAAATGGCCCCCATAGGCTTGCAGGGAGTGGCATATTAGGAGGTGTGGCCTTGTTGGAGGAAGTGTGTGTTGGGGGGATAGGGGGGTGGACTTTGAGGTTTCAAATGCTCAGCCAGGTTTCAAGGTTCACTGCCTCTTCCTACGGCCTTTGGATCCGGATGTAGAACTCTCAGCTACCGCTCCAGCACCACATCTGCCTGCGTGCCACCATGCTTCCCACCACGATGATACTGGACTAAACCTCTGAACCTGTAAGTCAGCCCCAATTAAATGTTTTCCTTTATAAGAGTTGTCTTGGCCAGGCGGTGGTGGCACACACCTTTAATCCCAGCACTCAGAAGGCAAAGGCAGATGGATCTCTGTGAGTTCAAGGCTAGCCTGGTCCACAGAGCTAGTTCCAAGACAATCAAGGCTGTGCACACGTGCACACACACACACACAAATCCTGTATCGAAAAGCCAACGTAAAATTTTTTTAAAAAATAGATAAATAAAAGAATTGCCTTGGCCATGGTGTCTCTTTACAGCAATAAAACCCTAGGACAGCCTGTATGTACAACATGCATATGAAAGTCAAAGAACAAGTTGCTGCAGTCAGTTGGCCACACTCTGGACTCTGGATAGTGCTCAGGGTTGGCAGCACTCACCTTCAGCTGCTGACCCATCCTGTTAGCCCGAAGTTGGTCTTTTGAATTCACCTGTACCTGCTGAGGGCATTCTGTGTTCAGATTCTGCGTTTACCCTGTGGCGGTGTAAAGATGACTCTACCTCGTTCTTTTATCCAAAGGTGTCACTTGTGTCACCTGAAGAGGAAGTGGGCTTGGTGTCTTGTGCTAGCTACATAGCTTGGGACTCTTTGGACGACTTTGTAACATATCAGATATCATGAATGTGTGATAGTAATAGAGTTCACTGTTAAATAGGACCATAGTCAATATCAACCATGTAAACACATATGGCATATAAATATTTGAGGTTCAGAAGGCAAGCAATGGCCATTTTTATTAATTGGCTATTTATTAATACTACAGTTGTGACGTTAGTCTAGTGTTATTCTCATTTGGGAAGCTTCTGAAGAAGACTCTAATGAGAGCTGGAAGTCCTAGCTGAGATATATGAAGGACTGAATGTTAAAAATAATATTTGCCTAAGAAGGTCCAGCTTAATTAAGCCAAAATTTAACCCCTATTACTTTGACGTCTCATCGACTAATCATACACGCTGACATTAGCTATTCTTCTAGTCGACAACTGCATGTGAGCATTGTGCTGCTTCGTTATTTTGACCCCATAGTCATTGTGAAGGTGCTGGTCCCTGCCATTCACTGGAAACTTTCCACATCTAACCCTGACTGTTCCTAGACACTAGAAGCAAAAGTGAGCCGTGAAGGAATGACTACGTCATCTCTCCGGGCATACAACTCAATTCCGCTGTGTCTGCTCATCACCGCAGAGCTGGTCCATACCCATAAAGGCTGACCCAGAACATCAAGTAGGACATTGCGGGGCATCTTTCCCTAAGGACGTATTTCAGGTGGTTCTCTAATGACCCTTGGAACTTGACTGCCTTTTGCCAAAAATAAACTGAAACTAAGCATTCATGATGCTATAATTTGTCGCAAGTGACTATGACCCTGAATCTGGGTCGCAGATCACTTAACTGTCTCTGAGCCATTGTTCTGGTTCAGGTTTGTTCCAGACATCTGGCAGCCTGTTCCTTTTGCAAGCATGCTCAAGTCCATTCATCTCTAGCTTGTTTGTGTTTGAGAGCAGTTGTTTTGTCCAGTATATCCACAGCAGAAAGATTTGTCTCCTCCTTCAGACCTGGCCATTTGAAAGGAGAGGATCTTTACAGCTTTTTAATCCTCCTCCTGCCATCTTTCCATGCGACCTGCAGGGTGCCTATGAGGCAAATGCCAGGTCTTTATCAGACGATCCTTCCGTCATCATCTGGTTCTTAACTCTGGTAAAGAAGTATGGTTCCATGGGCAAATGCTTGGGGATTTGTCTACTGGTCTCTTTTCCTTGGGTCACTGTTGTTGTTATTGTTTTAGGTATTTCTTTTTAATACATTTACTTATTTGTTTATTTATTTGTTTGTTTATTTTACAGCCTGCCGTAGTTTTCCCTCCCTCCTCTACTCTCAGTCCCTCCCCCGACCTCTCCACATCCCATTCCCAGCCCCCAATCCACTCCACCTCCGTTTCTGTTTAGGAAAGGCCAGCTCTCCCATGAGTATCAACAAACGTGGCATATCAAGTTGCAGTAAGACGAAACACCTCCCTGGGGATTAAGGCTGGGCAAGATTAGAAGGCCCACAAAAGAACCCAAGCTATACAACTGTAACATATGTGTAGAGGGCCTAGTCAGTCCCATGGGGGCTCCCTGGTTGTCAGTTCAGTCTCTGTGAGCCACTATGAGCTCAGGTTCGTTGATTCTGTAGGTTTTCTTGTTGTGTCCTTGACCTCTCTGGCTCCTACAATCTTTTCTCTCCCTCTTCCGCAGGATCCCCTGAACTCCACCTATTGTTTGGCTGTGGGTCTGTGTCTGTTTCCATCTCTTGCTGGATGAGGCCTCTCTGATGACGATTGGGCTAGGCACCAACCTGGTCACAGGAGATGGCCAGCTCAGGCTACAAATTTGCTCTTGCTAGGAGTCTAAGCTGGGATCGTCTTGATGGATTCCTGGGAGATTCCCTTGCACCAGGTTTTTACCTGACACCCCCCCCCCCGCCCTGACCCACACCTACACATAATTTCCAGTAGTCTTTTTCAGTACTCTCTCCTTCGAGGGGCTCGTTCTATCTCTCTTCTTCCTCAGAAGGCAGAGCAGAACAGTAGCAATGCTTGTGGAAGCTGCTGATAATTGTTTGGGGAAATCAGGCTGGGGAATGTTGCTTTTCTTTTCTTTGTTTGTTTTTCAAGACAGGGTTTCTCTGTAGCTTTGGAGCCTGTCTTGTAGACCAGGTTGGCCTTGAACTCAGAGATTTGCCTGTTTCTGCCTCCTGAGTACTGGGATTAAAGGTGTGTGCTGCTTTTCTAACTGGCCTATTTTAGATTTAGAATCATAGCGTCCTTAATCCAGTCAAATACTGTAGGCTGGAGAAGTTCCTGAATCTCACAAGCTTTTTGTATCTTCAGTACCATGTGGCTAAGTTAAAGTTACACCATCTCTGGGACAGGACATTGAAAGAGTGAGAAATGAACAACTGCCTTTTCCCTGTCCTTGTTGAGCCAAAGCCAGGACTCTCCCGGTGGCACACAGAGACGGTGATGTAGGTGCGAGTTCTACGTCCTCTAACCATGTTCAAGACTTCAGGTTTTTCTAGAAAAAGCATGAAGTTGTCTGGGTTCCACTCAGAAACCTCTCAGTTCTTCTGACTTTTGCTTCAGACATCTACTGAAGGTAAGAGAATCGTTGACTCCTTTTCAAACAGTTTAAAGTGCCCTTAGCCTCTGTGGAGGAACAGTTTCCTGGATTATAGTCACCGCTATCGGGGTATCAGCAACAGACCAAAGAAATGATTCCACTGCGTCTGGCTTTGGGAACCGTTGAGTGTATCGGGCTTACACAATGGGACACGAACATCCCTAAAACACCTGTGTCACCACAAGTCCCAACCAAACATGGGTGACACCCACTCGAAAGCTACAAAGACAGAGGCCCCTTTGGTTAACTATTTACCCCACGCTGTCCACTGTAGCGCCCCAAGAAACCATGTGCAGCTGAGCGGTTACTCAGGGGGCTGGTGGGGCTGCTACTCAGGTGGTGGGGCATGGCTGGACTCTGGGAAGTCTTTGATGCCCCTCCCCCTGCCTCCTATAGGCGAATGAGAACAGGTCCAGTCTTGCTGAGGTCTCTTGTCATTACCCTGCCGCCAATGATTCAGATACTAACAACGATGTTGCCTATGCTCACTGGCCAGCATTCTGCAGCAACCTCACTCTTTAAAAAACAAAAGAAGAAAGGAAGAAAGAAATGTTAAAAGCATGACTGGCAGCCCTACGCGATACTTCAGAAGCTCCTTCCCCGCAACTGAAACCTCTGATTACTGGGCATTTCATAAGCAATTTTCTAGATGGATACCTGTGTTCACTGGTATTTGCTCAAACACGTATGCAAAAGTCAGCCCCAAGGGAATCCTCTCGTGTAAGGAAATAATATATATGCTTTGTAATTCTACCCAGTGATAGATGTGGTGTTCGATTATTACAGAAATCTGTGTATTAGAGAGTAACACCGGCTAGGAGACATACCAACACCCGACAAGCGTTGGAGCACAGAAAGATAGTCTCCTCCTTTATCCTCGTCCTGAGCGTGGTAGTATGAGACCCACTTGGCCAGTGAGAAAATGGCGAAAATTAGCGTTGTTATTTTTCTTTCTTCTAACACTTCAGGCAGGATCTAAATTTGCTACACTTCCCTCGGGGCTAGTAGTGGAATCTGCAGGCTGTTTCTGTGAGGCAGACTGACTGCCAGCTCCACTGCCAGCTTGATTCGTTGCTGCCGCTGACCTTTGCCCCTGGAACCATTGGCTGTACTTGCTAAGTAAGACCAAGGAGATGCAGGAAGTGGGAAGTAAAAGCAAACTATGAGCTGCAGATGGATTTTTCTCTGGGTCACCAGTTCACAAAAGATGGCATGGAAACTTACTAATTATGAAAGCTCAGTCTTATTTTAGGCTTGTTCCTAACTAGTTCTCTTTTTCAATAATTTATTTACTTTTATTTCATTAGCCTTGGTATTTTGCCGACATGTCTGTGTGAGGGTGCTAGATCTTGGAGTTGCAGACAGTTGTGAGCTGCCATGTAGGTACTGGGAATTGAACCTGAGTCCTCTGGAAAAGCAGTCATTGCTCTTAACTGCTGAGCCATCTCTCCAGTCCCCTAACTAGTTCTTATAGTTTAAATTAACCCTTATCTCTTAATCTATGTTTTTTTACATGGCTCAGTTACCTTCACTCTGACCACCCATCCTGCTTCCTCTCCATCTGACTGGCGACCCCCCACTTCTTATTCCCCGAGCTCTCTGTCCCCAGAAGTCCCACCTAACCTCTTCTGCCTAGCTAATGGCCATTCAGCTCTTTATTAAGCCAAACATAGTGACACATCTTCACACAGTGTAAAGGAATATTCCACAATGACCGGAGCTTCATGTATAACCTCTTCGGTTCCTTCTGTCTCCCGAGGCAGCTGACAGCCTAGTCTAAAAGGATTTTTTAGTCAGTCAAGGGGCGGGACAGGTTCCTTGATTCTTTTGTCTTTATTGCACTTACTTACATTTGGGGGTGTGGATGGGGAATGTGTGTGCCACTATGCCCATGTGGAAGTCAGAGGGCCGCTTGTGGGAATTGGTTCCCTCCTTCCACCATGCGGGTTGGAACTCACTGTTGGGCTCAGCAGGAAGTGACTTTACCCTCTGCTCCATCTTGCCGGTCCAAGTCCATTGATTCTTGTATTAAACCATATTATAGAGTTGTCTCTGAAGTTTCTCAGAACAAGGCACAATTCACACCTTGTTGGAACTTTAAAAGCAAGGTGTCATCCGTACCTTGCTTCGATGCCAGACAAAGCTGCATTACAGCACAGGCTTGTTTCCCCTTTTATTGGCTTTATAACAAACCTGTCAGGGTGATAACTGGGAATCTAGCATGAGATTAAGCAGAGATAAAAGATGACAGGAGCTCATATATTTTATGTGCACACTGTGCGTGTGCTGATTAGGTCCTATCCCTGATTCTATATGTCCTCAGGAAGTTCTCAGAGAAGGAAGATGTCTGTATTTGATGTGTTCCGGGACACAGCTGTCATCGACATAGGCCAGACCTCACAGCCTCATTCCCGAAGCTCAGCTGTTGATTCTGTAAAGCAGGTTGGTTAAGCATAGCAGTGGCAGCTGGTAGATGCCTTCCCCAAGAGCCAGGATGCAGAATTTAAGGAGAGAAAAGCCAGGGCCATGCTACCAACTTGCCATCTGTTGCACATGTTGGCCTGTGCCAATGAGCTCCACCCCACCCCATCCCATATAATGGAGTCTCCCCACTCTGCCCATTTTAGAAGCTGTGTGTGTTACAGTAAATGCCACTCCACCACTGCACTGTTGATATGAGTAGAGTCTTGTTACAGACTTTTGTACACTGCTAAAAATTTTACACTGCTAGAATTATTGCCCAGTTGGAAGACTCGAATATAAAACCTGTTTTCCCAGCAATAACTCTACCAGCTAATACTTGGTCCCACGTGGGGCTTTATGTTGATTAAGGAAACTTCTAAGGCAGACGAACAGGGCAAAAGGCAAAGCAAAAAGCTAGAAAAGTCCCCAGCTAGCGCTGACTAAATGAGGCTACAGACACGGGCACAAGCAGAGAGCTGCTCCAGACTCTCTGAAGGCTGTCTTTTATAGTAGTACCAGACATTGAAATGATAAAATGTGCTGATATGTGACTCATGACATTGTATGAAGACTCACATGCAATAGACGAGCACAAGAAAAGCCTGTACTATGCAAATCGGCCCAAAGCTTCCAAATCCCACTCTTTTCTGATAAAGATGCTATCCAAGTATTTTGCCCCCTCCTTCTTCTTTTTGGTACAGGGTCTCATGTAGTTCATCAGGTTGGCCTTGGACTTGGATCCTCTTGCCTCATTCCCTTCAGTGCTGGGATTACAGGCGTGTATCACCTTATTTTGTCCCCTTTTAAAGTGAGTTGTTCATTAGTGTTGAGATATAAGTGTTCTTTATATATTCAGGGTATAAATTCATTACAAGATATTTTTAAAATATTTTCTCCAAGTTTGTGGGTTCTTTTAATCAACATATCTTCATGGATTTATTTGTGTTTCGTGAGTTTTTCATTAATTCTCATATCTCATTATATGAATACAATTTATTATCTTGATGGACATTGGGGTACTTTAAAGGTTTTGTCTCCCAGAATAGTGCTGTTCTTTTGGTGAACCTTTGTGTGCATTTTCTATGCATACAATTCTATTCAGAGTGGAATTTTGAGGCTGTAGAGAAAATATATGTTCATCTTTGCTATATAGAAACTCAACATCTGACATGTTCCAAAATCCCTCTTTGAGTGCTGATAGAACATCGCAAGTAGAAATGTCACGTCAGACCTTATGTAACAGGCCACAGTAAAACCACCGGCTCCTAAAACTATATACAATTACCTGTGTATGTGAAACAAATAAGCTTTGTGTTTAGGCTTCAATCCCCCATGAACTTTCACTATGTATATGCAAATATTCCAAAATCTGGGGGCAGGGGATCCAGAATCTGAAATCATCTGGTATCAGCATTTTGGGTAAGGAAAAATAGGAAGGAATCTATATTGCTAAACAGTTTGTCAGGATGTACTGCCACCAACAATGTGTGAACGTACCATCCGACTGTCTTTCTGCCAGCATTTGGTGGCCATGTCCAGCAAGGCTCCAAGGATGGGCCTGACTGGTGAGGAATGAAGAGAAGACAGATATACGGACGCACAGACAGAAAGCTGGGTTCAGGTGAACTGGACTCTGATGGAGAAACCATGGCACCCAAAAAGCTCGGTTTGTTAATTATACAGAGTTGGATGGAGAGGTGGGGTTCTTGCATACCACTGAGCAAGAGGCAGGTTGAGATGCTCCGGATAGGAGCAGTCTCTGTAGGGGAGCAGTGTTCAGGTTGTAATTATCCAGGGGGAGAAAGCTAGGGTGGGCATTTTCTGCACACACTGGCTATATCCCTCACACATGCATGCGTGCGGGTGGAGGGGTCGGGGAGAGAAAAAGAGAGAGATCCATAAGGCTCTGGGGTCCTTGACAGGGCTGTGCCTATGCCAACAACACACCTTCTCTCGGGGCTTCACATAGTCAGGGCTACCTCCATTCCCCCACATCTTATATTCTTCCTTTAACCATTCTTGTGATATGCTGAGATCTCTCAAAGAGGGCTGAATTTGCATTTCTTGGATGACTAAGGAAACTGAAGCCCTTTTCCCAGCGGGTATTATATATTGTCTTTTGTGATGTGCCTGGCTTTTTGGTTTTGGTTCTTTTGTTTGCTGTTCCTTATACTGCTTTGTCCCCTTTTCGAACTTTTAGACTTTACTCTTTACCCTTGAGATTCTGGATTCTGGAATCGTCTTTAACCTAGGATGGGAGGAGAGGGTTGAAAATTCCAATTGCAGAAACTTCTCAGTTTCTCTTTCTTGAGCTATTTTTCAGCTTACGTTTCACTTTTGTGTGACTCTTGGATCCATGCAGTGCTGCCCTTTTATTCCTCATAGGCAAAGGGGTTTGTGTCTGTGTACTCACGCACGTGGAGGCCCAAGGCCAACCCTGGGAGTCTTCCTCCATTTCTCTCTGCCTTAGTCGCTGAGGCAGGATCTCACAAAGGAACCCAGAGTTCTTCAGAATTGCTAGTGTAAATAGCCAGCTCACCCTAACGATCCTTGTCTTTAAACAGGAATAACAGGTGGCCATCCACAGCCAGCCAGCATGAATAGGTTCCGGGACTCCAGACTCCCATCCTCACATTTGTGTGGGAAATGCCTTGAGTACTGAGCCATGTCCCCATCCCAAGTCAGTCCCCCAAGACTTTGCTGATTTCTGTACTTTTTCTGTACTTTTCTGTACAGCCTCCCTCTGGTGCTCTCTGAGCAATTTCCTTACTACATTTATCTTGCATTTTCCCAACCGAGCTAGTGCCCCAGTTCTTATTTATATTTAACTTTCCTTTTTGAGATGGGATATTGGTTGTTGCCTAGGCTGATTTCAAGCTCCTAGATTCAAGGGAACCCCTGTTCTTCCCTAGAGTTTTTTACAGGTGCGCCTGTATGGCTGACTTACTGCATCATCTTAACCAAAAATCTAATTATGCATTTTAAATTTTATTTCCTTCCAAACGAGAGGCAACTTTACTGAATTTCTATGAACCCAAGTTCACCTATCTGAAAAAAAAAATTCTTAAAGCCTTTTAATTCTAAATATATTTACACTATAATCGATGACTGTATCCATGTTCGCTTGGCTAATTTGGGGAGTAGGAGACTTTGAATCTCTACTTTCTGACTCAAGAATTGTTTCTGTCTCACTTGGCAGAGAATCAAGGTGTCTAATCCTTGGCACGGCATGTACACCCATTCTAGATAGCTGTGGAGATTTCTCTAATCTTCACTGAACACAGAATTGGCTCAGATGCCAAATTCTGAAATTCCATACATAAAACCAGATAAGATTCTGAGAGTCCAACCTCTCTGATGTGGAAATTGAATCTTAGGCAAAGAGCAAAGGGTAGAAATCAAGAAAGAAGTGTTAAGCATGGTCGAGCTGGCCTCAGAAGTAATCATTAGACGAACCTGTGCCTGCCCTACAGCCAGGAGAGGTGACTACCATGAGGGCAATCATTAGATGAACCTGTGCCTGCCCTACAGCCAGGAGAGCTGACTACCATGGGATGGGTGGTCTTTTGTCTTGCTACATAAGAACAATGACCACATGATCATTGAAGAAGAGCT